CCCAATTCACCCCAGAGACATAGATCGTGTCAATGGTGTGTTCCACTCGTGTGTGTTGTGTCATTCATTGTGTCGTGTCAGGTGGTAACGAATCTGGCCATAGCGGTGGGCATCGGCCTGTGCATCGCAGCGTTGGTGTACGCGTGGGACTCGGCCAATCGCATGACCGTCGAGTGCGGCACAGTCGATAACACAAAGGTACCCGTCTCAGGCCAACATGAGCACACCAGCCGACACAGAGACACCGGGGGGTGTCTCTCTCTGTCTCTGTGTGTGTGTGTATCAGTACTACGAGGTGAAGGGCAACATTTTCTTCGCCAGTAGGATGAGATTCGAGAGGCTCTTTGACTTCGACAACGACCCTGAAGTAAGCGGAACATCCTTCGGAGAGAGACACGAATGCAATGCTTCTGTGTTTCCGCGTGTTGTCTGGTGCAGAGAGTGGTCATCGTGCTGCGCAACAGCTCCCTGGCCGACTACTCGGCCCTCGAGGCCATCAACGCCGTCAAAAAGGAATACCAGGAGAGAGGAAAAGAGGCACGAGTCAAGGTAACTGCTCACCATCACACGACACACCCACCCACAACGCATTCCGTTCGTGGGATGGATGGATGGATGGATGGGCGCAGGGTCTGACGGACGAGTGTGTGCGCATGGTGACCAAGGCGGGCCACCTGCTCAAACACGTGGACCTCTCTCTCATGGAGGTCGACATCCCGCGCGTCCACCGATTCGCTGACTACACCGCATACGCCCCGGGCATCGTGGTACACACACATGCACACATCTATAAGACGCACACGCGCATCCTGATGATCTCTCTGTGTGGTGTGTGGTATCTCAGATTGCCCGCCAGAGTTCGACAATGAGCGACGCGTCATCGCCCCGCCGTCGCAGCCACGACTTCGGCGCCGGGCTCATTCAGAGGGCCAACAAGAACGTCACCTCCAAGAACACTGTCAGCATGTAAGTGTGCACACAACACGAGACAACACACACAATGGCGCACCCATATGTGTGTGTGCATCTGTGTGCAGCAACCTGCATACGTCCGAGGCGCCCATGAGCGCCTCGCCCGTGTCCATCCCGGCCGAGACCGCCCTCGAGATGATCGAGGCCGCCCGGACGGCCGTCGGCACACGAGACGTCCAAATCAACATCAGACCAGCAGCACCACCGGCACCAGGAGCCGGCAGTGGGAGCGAGTCCTCCCCCCGCCACAACGCTGCGGCGGGGATGTCGCCTTCCACTGACACGGGTGACGTGACAAGCGACAATGACACACCCGAAAACAGTGGGGGAGCGGGTGGCAACCAAGTGGAGGTGGGCACTGTGCCCGGCAGATCACGCATCTCGTCCGTGCCGTGAATCAGCCAGCCAGCCAGCCAACGCCCCAGCCAGCGACCGAGGGAGGGAGAGGGAGAGGAAAAGGAAAGAACCTCAGTCGATCGGGTTGTTTTTGTGTATCGCTGTCGGTCGGTGGATGGATGAGTGGATGGGCGGAGGGAGGTAAAACTTCCCCGTTTTGCTGTGGTGTCTGCCTGTCTGTCTGTCTGAGGATGGCTGGAGTCGTGTCCGTTTTGTCGGCGTTTGATGCGGCAGGTGACATTCATTTTGCGTTCATATTATCCACATGCATGGGTGATGGATGGGTCATGGTGGGTAAATCGTGAACGAGTTCTCGACAATGACACACACTGAGGGAGAGGAGGGGCGGATCATTTCTGCAGGCTTTGTTGTCTACACGTATGTGATGTGAATCGCTTCTTTACTTTCTCGTGTGGCGGTTGTTGGGGGCTGATCGCATGTGTTTCGTTTGTCAGCCAAAGTGCCACCACCCACACACACAGGGGTTGGGCGGAGGGATTTTTCACATCGCTGGTGTCTGTCTGTCTGTCTGTCACTCCACACATGCACACTATAGGGGCTCCATGTATCCACGGTCGACGTGGCACGCAGTCCGCTGATGTGTCGATGCATCGGCCACCCGCATGTGTGTTGTCCGTCCGTTGTGGTGATTTGGTTTTCTTTTCATGACGGATCGATGGATGGACGGACGGACTGGTGGCTTGGATGCACATTCCATGGGAAGGAATGTTCTATCTGTCTGTTTGTGAAAATTTCTAGATGCGAACCATCGTGGG